CGTTTCTTCCTGCGACTGTAACAGTTTGCAAACTCATCACTTTTCTCATTCACCTAATTGAGGTTTTCCATCAATTGCCTCCCCCCAGACCTATAGCAGGGTTTTACTCCGGAGAGAGCCCATTCGAGTACACAATTCTAAGTGATTAATACTTAAACAAATTAAGCATCGCAGAATACATTTATCTGTCACATGTCGACAGCATATATGCTCATGTATAGCAATACGTGGAAAAACTGCATTTAATACCTTCAACTAAGGCCTAACTTCAAAGGTATCACGTGAACTTTAAAGTGTATTCAAACACTATTAAACTTAAAAAGATAAGAGCATTTTCTTAATATTATTCACCAACCACTGTTCCAGAGGAATGTTCAATTACATTCTAAAGTTTATGGGTGTTTTATTAAATTTTAAAATTCATTAATTGATCCGAGAAGTCAAATATAATTTTCTGCAAACAAAATAAGAATCTCGTACATCAGATATCAGATTTTGAATCTTTCTTCTTGCATTGACCATTGTCTCTGATGTTTTGTAACTATGAATAAGGGCCGCTCTACTCTCTGATGTTTTCAAGTCCATTGCAGAATTTGATGATGTTGCCTGTCAATGACAATTCACATTCAGAAACTTGACACAAAATACTTCCAAATAGAAACAATCTATCGACCCAAAACTTACGATCAATTCAAAGTCCAAATTGACGCACAGAAGGAAGTGATCTGGAGGGTTTCTTGTAGTTGGACAAGGGAAGCCTGCATTAGCAAAAAACTGTTCCAAGGATATAATCAGGAACTCCAAATTTCCACAAATTTCATCGGAATCTCAATGTTCTGCTTAAATCAGTTATACCTCTAAAGCCATCTTTGCTTCGCCGAAATAAACAGTTTCTCCACCTGAGAGCAGAAGCAAATCATCAAACAGGTGAAAGATTTCATTACTCGGTTGGTGAATCGAACACATGATTATTTTTCCACCATGAGCTATCTGTCTCAGGGAGTGGATTACGTAGAAAGCTGAGGCACTGTCAAGTCCGGTGGTAGGCTCATCGAGAAATAACACATTAGGTTGCGTCAGAATCTCGAGGCCAATGGCCAGCCTCTTCTTTTCCCCATTACTGATTCCTCGCAAGTGCCAGTTCCCAATATGATTATCAGCACAATCTTCAAGTCCCATTTCCATTATAGTCTGTTGAACCACCTTACTTATCTCTTCTTTTGTCATTTTTGAAATCAACCTTATCTTCGCAGAGTACGTGAGAGTTTCTCTCACCGTCAAAGTTCCTAGGAAGGTCTCTTCTTGAGCAACATAAGACTAAAATTTCCACACACACAAAAAAAAAAACGCCATTACAAATCAGTTGATTAGTTAATTTTTCTCATGAGCAATACATATATATATTGTCTCCATAACGTAACAACATGAATCGCAATAGATTACCATCTCCCTGTGATGCCACTTTCTCTTCTTTCCATTGATTAGAATATTGCCGGTCATTGAAGCATTCGCATCAAGTGTTCCTGCGCTCAAATTATCAATTCAGACTTCAGAGTCACAGCTATTGAGGGAAAAATTACACAAAATTACCCAGAGATAATTAATCATCCCACAAATGTTATCATCTACCTTCATTTCTTACCAAGTACCAATTTACAAAGACTTCAGGCTCAGAGAGAAAACTTGGAAAGAATTGATATATCAACACGATCAAAATATAAATCCTACACTTTCACATATCACAATCACAAATAATATACCAAAATCCATGAATTACTAAAAATAATTACTAAAAAGTATCAATATTAAAAGAGCAGCCTACAATAGCAAGAAGTTTTAGAGCAATAAATGACAACTACTCACTTATTATCAGGATTTACTGATAAGTAATTTTTTAGATGTTTAGTTATAATAAATATTATTGCTAATAGTCATTTATACTAATGTCGTCAATATTACTATCAATATATGTCAATATGGATATAAAACTTAAAGTAAGCTTTGTTTTTTTTTTATTATAAATTTTAAAAAAAATAGCTGATAAACTTGATAGCATATATGAATAAGTGTGTTCGATTAATATCAACATGTGACAATAAAATATCATTTTAGTATATAAAATTTACAACAAATTTCATTTTTTTTTATGGAAATGATATTAGGATTTAAAATGAAATAGTTCTTAAATTTTAAATATATTTTAACATATGATATTAAGTTATGGGATTGATTTAAAATTTTTAAACAACACTAAAAGTTTAAAAAAAATTTGTGGTTATTATAAAGTTAACTTATTACATAAAATATACTTAAAAATCCCATAAAATCACTCAATATTTATTTTAAAAAAAAGAGAGAGAAAACAAATACACACTTTTTTAAGGGCCAAGCAAACTACACTTTGTGGCTTGACTTAACTAAGTGTGACAAAGGATACTGGGCAAAACTTGAGTTCTGTTCGTCATCATGTTTGAAATAACTTATAAACATATTTTATGTAAATTGAGATAAAAGTTCTTTGATATATTTACTTCGTATTTCGTAAATTATGATTGAAAAGTTGTTTATAAGTTATTCTAAACAGGTTTGCCTACCGAATTAACTACCAGCACGGCTAATGAACATTAATTGAAAAGGAGAGAAGAATAAAGAAAGAATGGCGTTGAGGAAATAGAAATTAAAAGGCATTATGGGATCTGTTTGTGAGAGAACAAGAGGAAAAAATTCTACTTAATTTAAAGGACTATATTATGATTTTAAAAAAAATCTATTAAAGGAGTTTAACAGGAAGAATTTTTTGGGGAACCGCTCCACAGGCACACAGACACAGTTATGTCCATGCATGGTCTTCTAATTTTATATAAAATCTTATTTGATTCCTTAATTTTATAAAATGTTTTTTAGTTGTTTAACTCTAACACTATTAATAAATTATTGACGTTAAAATTTTAAGTGTTAATAAAATATTCTTATATAAATGCTGAAATTTTTTTTAAATAATAATAATCAGCACAAAAATTAATATTTGAAAGTAGCAAGAGATTAAAAATATTCTTATGAAATGAAGGGACTAAACCGAAATATCATATAAAATTAAAAATAAATAGTAGTGTAGTACACTAGTACTTTACAAACTAATTTGAGAGGGACGTGAGATGATGGGGAGCAGGCATGGGGGAGCGTCGGTGTTAATGCATGCATAGATCTGTCCGTCCCCAGCATTAATAGGATGATGCACGGCAGTGGCAAGCTTTTATTTCTGTTTAAATCCCCCAACAAACCCAAAACGCAGCCGTCTCCATCCATAAAAACCACAGCACAGCCATCACTGTACGTTCACATGGCTTCGTCGTTCGATTGCGAAGCCTCTGTATGGATGAAGCCCATGAATATTGTATTATGCTACCATTATATCTCCTACACATCAATCATCATCCACCGTATATACACATCCGCACATATATGAATTTGAGACGCAAACACAGACAGAAACATATGATGTCTGGCGCAATACCAAGAATAAAATAGAAAAAATAATCTTGTGAGCAAGAAACAATTATTTGTGCCCTAAATAAATAAATAAATAAATCTGGTTAATAAATATAAGGGGTAGTTAAATTTTAATGGTAACATAGTAAATATCAAAACACACATATGTCATATAAGACGCGAGACGGAGTCTCTCCACTTCGAATTCTTTGCTCTCCATTTTCCTTCACTTCTTAAAAATTTCTTGATATAATTAAAAAATCGTGAATCTTATGTCATGTGAAAATAACATGTTTTGTGGGCAAAAGGAAGAAGGAAAATAACTTGCCTTTCCCCAGGATTAGCAAACGGGATAAAAGAGAAAGTTGGTGGTGAATGAAAAGAGAGAGAATAAATCTGAGACATCACAATTAAAGTTGACGAATGATGTGCAGAGAGGAGAGAGAGGAGGGGGGGAAGAGAAAGACCAGCGAGAGAGTGGAGGAGGGTGGTTTTGCCGGAGCCGGAGGGACCCAAGAGAGCCAAGAGGCGAGCAGACTGAGCGAAGCCTGTGACTGCATGAAGAAGTGCCTTCTTCTTCTTATTGGCTTCTCCAAAAGCATCAGCAACCCGCACCGATAGATCTTCCCACACGATATAATTCCTACTGCCCACCGTCATATTGGCTGCCGCCTCCTTTTCTGATTCCTATATCTCTGCACTGCACACTACTCCACCATGCAAGCCCTCGTCTGCCGCTGCCATATATAAATAAATGTTGTACTCCTCATGCCCATCACCCATCACTTGCACTGTTGCACATTTATTTATCATCTCTACCCCCCCCCCCAAAAAGAAAAACGAGCATCTTCCCAAAATCTATGGGTCGGCCGTCATTTTCGTCCATAAAAATATTGATTTTAAAAATGTGCGTACTTAAAGACTTTTTTGACTGGTGTGTGATGAAGCATTATTAAGCCAAAAAAAGAAAAAAGAGGTCGTTGGGAATTGTTAACTAATCAACGTCAATTTTTGGAATTGGATGCCGGACACGAGACTGTGTCGGGACACACAAGCGTTAGTAGTCTCTATCATCATGTGATGAGCCGCTTCAAAGTAATTTTTTTTTAATAGATGTATAATTTTACGTTTCAATTATTATTATATTTATTTTGTTTATATAAGATATACTGTATATTAAATAGGAATAAAGTTGAAAAATTATGAAATTTTAAATAAGAGTTAATAAAGTTTAATGTTTTTCTTAATCTATATGAAATATGTTGAAATTAACTTATAAATAAGACCAAGTAAGTAAGATTCAACACATGATTCAGATGTGTAATTAATAGGATTCTAACGTATTGTATGGAACTTGAAAAGATAAGTCACGTTATGCGTAAGCAATATGCTAGCTAACTTCTATATCTTATACTGAAGATTATGGCAGCCAAAAATATTTTATATCGATGATTACTCAGTGAAAATGCGTGATAAAAATCAAGCAAAGCAATCATTAGAATTAAGTACGATTGGTTAAGGAAGTTAAGCTCTTGATTATTCATCAATAAACGTTCAATCACGTCACGCCAAGTAGTTACCGCCCTTTTTGGTTTGGGGGGGAAAATGGTTTAACTGAAAAAATATCAATTTACTCAAACTACTTGCAGACATGTCTGTTTAGACATTTTTTCAGGGAATGCATGGAGTAGAGTCTAAAACATGAACCGTATGAGTTGGGGCCTCACTGTGGTAAATGGGGGCCCGGGTAGTGGGGTGAATGACCAACCAAACTTCTATTTTCAGCCTAAGACCCACCAAACTTTAACACACAGGGACACAACCCCCCTTTCTTTTCCCTCCCTCCTCTTCTCTCCATCCCTCCCTCCCCTAAAAGCAGAATGGTCAAGCATGAGGAACGTCATCGAGAATGAAAGGTCCAAGTTTGCCAGTTCTAAACAGAGTAAGGAACTTCTTTGATACCATTAAACGTGCTTCTGAAGCTTTGTGAGGTATCTTCAATGCCTTCTGCAACGTCCCAAATTGCTGCTCGATCAGATCTTCCAAGTCACCCTCATCTTCTGTGTTCCCTTTGAATTCTGTTAGCGTCACATATAGTGCTCGTTGAACTTCCATTACAAGATCCTATAATGCATTAACAATAACAAACATAAGAGTGGCAGTCAAAGGAATATGATCCAACAAGCATAATGCTGCAGGCAGTGAGCTTCAATAAAACATTTAACTACAAACCCCTATCGAAAAGGCATGCTAAATTGCCGATTGACCATGAATATTATTGATATTGGGTCATTCAAATATTGATATTGTACCCTCCCAGAAAAAATGAAATGCATTAATGGCTGTGTTTTGGAGAACTTTTGTATATTTGAAAGTATTTTATGCAAGTGGCATTGTAATAACTTTGGACACATTCCCAACACAAAACAAGAAAAGATGAGACAATATGACTGTAAAAAACATATGCTACCAATGAACATCCATCCCACTCAAAAGCAGCGTGACGAAGCTTGGAGTAAATCAAATAAGGTGCACATGAATATTCCATTTACCCACAAGAGAAATTCAAAAAAAAAAAAAAAAAGGTGGCATGGTACCTCGATATAAACCACTTCAGATTTATTTGGTGGACTTGTGCTCTTTCGTTTAAGGCTTTTCAAATTGTATTCATGCTTTTCCTCAGATTCATATCGAATCCCTTCCATTCTCCTATTATTCAAGTGCTTCCAGTGAATTGGAGTCCCTCGGGTATTCAAAACTGCCAGTAAGTACTGAGCAATACGCTCCTCACCCACTACTGAATCTTTCACAGATCCTGCTAGCATATAGATAACTTGTCGTCAAATTACAAAACAAAATTAAGAAAGGAATCTAAGATCGATCATTTTAATGGATACACTACCTGCAAGAGCCAGCTTTAACCCTGTTTCTATGTCTGGGATACTTGGAACCAGCACCCCAGGAGTGTCTAAGACATATATGCTCGGGTGGTGTGCTATCTGGACATCAAGTCAGGGTCAGAGTATAACCACATGTCCATACGCATCATTAACCCAACATATGCGCATGCACAAACACACAAGTGATGTTTAAATAAAAAAAAGAACCAACAACAAGCAAAAAGATGGAAAGGGATGGAGAAAGCCAATGTACTATTATATCGAAAAGAGAATTGACAAAGCTAGCAAAAGCAAAGCAGTTCTCATTTCCCCTTTGCCTCTCACTCATAATCTTCTAGTCAAGATTCTACCGGTTCAATATTATGACTTTTCAAAATTGTGGCAACGGAAACGGAGACAAGAAAAACTAATATAATAATACTAATACATGATGTGATGAACTACAGCAAATCCAAAAGGACACGGCAAATACAAGGATCTAATGCATACCACCAACAGGAATGCAAGGCCAGCACTTCTCAGGTTCTAGACAAATTCATGTTTATCAAATGGCGGAACAATTCAAAACGCCAGTATATTAATGGGGAAATCAAGAAGAAAGGAAGAAATTATGGCATTCAGATCACTGGACCTTGTATCCCGCAATATCTTGAGTAACACCAGGCAGAGGACCCACAGTAGCTCTCTTCATCTTCTCCTGCACTATGAAAGCAAACTAAAACATCACCCATGCACATTCCATTAACCAAACTACGAACAAAAAAGTAACAACAAAAAAATCTGACAGCTTGACGTTCGTTAAAATTGAAGCTTTCAATTGCCGTGCAAAATTTTTACCTGGAAAGCGAGACAGTGCAATTTGATGAATTGAATTAATCAAAGCTGACTTCCCAACATTTGGAACACCAACCACCATCACTAGGAGAGTAGGTTCCCTGGAAATCACTTCCTTCAATTTGAACTCGACAAGATCAAGAAGCTTCAATGCACGGACAAGAAAGATCAGAGCAGGGGATAAATTAGTACAAATATATTAACTTTATGAAAATGACCTAACTTGTTCAGAATCGTGTTTTAGAACATGCTCATTGGACTTTCTTTTTTCTTTTTTTTTTTGGATGTATAGCGGGAAAGGTAACACTTGAAAGGCCGGCATTTCAAATTATGCACTCATTATCACGTAATTGATAGGCTTGGCTCAGCAGGAACAATGTCAACATAAAATCACATATCCCATAATTATATGGATTAAAGAACATTACAGTAGAAAATTATCAAAAAAAACGAAGGAGCACATTACGGTAGAAGTATTTTCGCCCTTCAAAAGATAGAAATCCACAGGGCAGTAGGCAGTGGTAGAAATGTAATGATCAGAACAATTATGCCAACTCACCTTCTTAACAGAGCTCTTGCTATGGGCACTTATAGGAACACAATCTTGCTTGCACGAGTCAAAATAGTGGATCCATTTCTACAGCAACAAAACCAAATGGCAACGTGACTCATAAATGGAGGGTGAACCGCTTTATGGTAAAAAAATACATTTCCTGAAAACGATACTGATGAAAGGTCACTAAAATTTTCCCGAACTGATACATCGAGTAAGGAGCAGGACATTTTGGTAAGGCATAAAATTGGCATCAAGCAAGCAAAAAGTTTTATCACGTAGTCACACAAAGCAAGCTTCTATTCAAGCTAAGAAGCGTAATAAGAATTGCATTCTTCAGTTCAAAAAAAAAAAAGGAGTTGCACTCCAATGCCAAAAACCAAATTTTTCCTCACTATTCTGCTTGGAAATATGATCAATCTTCACGTCGATGATGCCTTGGAATGTTGAGAAACATCGTATTACTCCCGAAAAGATAATTGAAACCATCAAAGTTTACTATTTATACATCACAGCAAGGAAATATTGATGCAACATAGAAAGATATATGACGCTAAAGTCGTGCGGCGAGTAGCCGCGCGACAACATCCAAGGAACATGTAACGGCTTTTAAGCCTAACCTTACCTGGAGAGGACACTAATTGAAAGTTGAACTGAAAATAAAGTTCGGTGAAAACGAGGGTTATACATGCATGATATTAGGGTTGGCCAAGTCCTTTTTATTAAGTGCAATGACACGGCGCTTCCCCGAGAGCTGAGGTTGAAGATCGGCATGAGCAGAGGACAGAGGAATGCGCGCGTCTCGAACTTCGATGACGAAGTCAGCAACCTTAAGGCGCTGGCGAATAGCATGAGTGGCGGCTGCCATGTGTCCCGGGAACCAGTTGATAACTCCGCCGTCGGCCATGAAGCCCATCTCCCCTAACCCTTTCTTTAAAAGTCCCTTCAACCCGCCCATTCTTTTTCACAACTCTCTCATCCACAAATCACAAGCACGCTAGCTGGGACTGTTTAATCTGTTCTCAGACAGGAAAAATACATCACTTACAGGGATTTAGGGTTTGAGTAGTAAAAATAGAAGTATGACATATGAACAAAACTAATTTATAATTAACAACTACATTTCGCTTGAATCAGAGTGGAGGTGTTGGCGGGCAGCAGCTCAATGCTGAGACATTTTATATGCTATTTTATCCTGATAAAAACAATACTTTTTTTATGCCTAATGAAGAAAATAGCCGGCACGGTAAGTTTCATCATTAAGTGATTCGTGGAAGACGACGGAGCTCACCCGGGTCGAAGTCTCGAGGACGACTAGAGGAGGCACACACGGACGATGGCGGGAGCGACGATCGACAGCGACAGTTCAGTTGGCGGCGGCCGCTGCTACTGGAGGAGGAGTGGCGGCAACGATGACAGGAGGAAGAGAACAACGCGCGAAGTAGGAAGGGTAAAATTGGGAGATCAAGAAATGGTACGGGTAATTTAGTCATCATGTGATAAATTATCTTTTTTTTTTTTTTGGTATACTGATAAATTATCTTTGCCTTATGTTTTCTTTCCCTCGCTTCTCCTCCCCTTCGGAAAAAAAAGCCCCAACCAAACACTACCCAATGAGAGGAAGTCGACATTGGACCTTGGGGACTGACTGTTTGTCGGAATGTGGGCCACAAAAGATGGGCCATGACAAACTCCTGGTTGAGGCCGACAAGAGTACTCAGGCCTAAATTCAAGCTTCATGGTGAAATGAAGGAGGAAAGGCCATTTGGTCCGAGGCTCCGTGTCGCTTGAGAAAATATCAAGCCTGGGCAGCATATAAAATATTTGACGGATAGATCCCTTTGGCATTTTCTTTTTAATGCATGAGTATATGTATGATTATCTTATATCTAATGTTGTTGGGTTTTATTTAAAAATTGTTAAATTCAATTGAGTGAGGAGCTCGACCAACAGCGTTTTCTGCATTCACATATGATTGAGCGAGCTGGTAACTTTATTTTAATAAGATTCTTTTGATTCTATTTATAAGGTATTCCTGATATATTTTATCGAAACTATGTACTCTGTGCTTAGAACAGATTTAACAGTGTGAACTATGGGTGTGATTTGTGAAAAAACTTTCTCAAGTAGAGGCAGAGGAGTAACAGAAATGGGCCGTGAAGAAAACGAGGAGGGACAATGGGAGGGAAAGATAGGGTCGTGGGATGAATAGTGGGGAAGAAGATGTATTATGGTGTATCCCACGAAGGTGATCAGTTTGCCCATGCGATGGGAATTCGGGTGCTCCCCCTCGCATTACTATGTGTTTACACTTTCCTCAACATTCACCGGTGCTTTCCATTCTCCACTCCTCCATTTCGCTGCTTCTTCCTCCGGATAAAGCCATTGCTTAACAAATATAACTGTTCTCTTTTAACCCACACACATATATATAACTGTCATTGTTAGAGTTGGTCCATTTCATAAAAAGTAAATCATCACACATAAAATCATTAGTTTAAATTTCATTGTTAATGTGAAGAGGTGAGTGACTATAAGTGTCTTTATAAGTATTTTTAAACTCAAGACATGTCATGATCTTAGCGAGCTTTTAAAAGCCAACTCATTTCTTTTTCTTTTTTTTTCATTCAGATAAAGTATGATTGTTCCCTAAATAGGTTAACTGCATTAACATCAAGAATCTATATACTCGTCTTTTAATTATGAACCTAAACGATTGGTGATACTTGTTGTATTAAAAGAGGAAACTATTTTGGAGTCATAAATATTGTGACTTGAAATACAATCATATTATATAGTCGTAATACTACCTTCGATCCTTTATATAAGATCTGGTTAACAAATTTAAAGAGATTAAGAAAACTAAAAAATTACTTTAAAATATTTATATTTATCGTTTTTCTTCAAACTAATTTGTTTATAAATTGATGTATAATTAATGATATACATAAGTTGTTTTTTAACTTTCTTAATCTCTCAAAATTAGTCAGTCGAGTCTTATATTAAAAAATAAGAGGTAGTATTGATGATTAATAATGTATGTAAATATCTATAATAAAATAGATATACTTGTTAAGTTATCATTGCTAGTGAAAAACAGCCATTAGGCTTTCTCTTTTTGTGCAAAAGAAATACAAGTGTAATAATTTTAACTAACATAAAAAAAATTAATGTCTACGCCCTACACATTCGTAAGTCATGTTTAAAGCTTTCTGAGTGAAAAAAGAAATGTTAAGCTTCTTCTTCTCGGAAGCTGATTTTTTTTTTTCCCCCAAGAATACGCGAAGCAATTAGTTTTTTTTTTTAAACCAAAAATGTCCACAACATAGGTAACTGAATACTATTTCTTTATAAGAATAATTGAATATTATTGAGTAAATAGTAGAGATTAATAAGACTGTCTTATAATTTGAAGAGGGCATGAACTAAGTTAATTAATTTTACTAATTTGCGTAAATTAATTAAAAGTAATTAATATAAAAAGAGACAAATAATACTTTGTCAATCCGCAAATATTGAGCACGTAGTTCCTTTAATTAATACTATCTTTGTTTTTTATTATAAAAATTTGTTTGACTTTTAATTTTGTCCTAAATATAAAATCTTAATTCACTTTATCTTTTATATTTATTTATTTTTTTTAAAATAGTCGTTGTAGTAGTTATATATATTAAAAGTTTTATCAAATAATAATTTTAACCAATATACATGATTAACAAAGGTATTCTAGGAAAAACAACACATATTTATAACAAATAATTAACTTAACTAATTTTTTTAATCTCTTCAAATTAGTTAATTATATCTTATATTAAAAATCAGACATAATAATAATAATTATCACGTCACCCATGCCAATGATCCCTTCCCTCGCAATATTTATTTTCCCGTCTCTCAGCTTCTAATTATAATTATAATTAAGAATTCCCTGTGCTGCGTGCACGACTGCACGTATACATTGCACACGCACACAATTGAACTCGCAATTATTTACAGCTTCTGGTTATGTGTTGGCCAATTACTTAAAGCTTCTCTAATATTACAACTCCTTTTTTTTTTTTTGCCAGATACAACAAATTTTGATTACAGTCATAGAGGGGAAGAAAAATACCACTCCACCCATATAATTAAGAATATCAGGATTTACGCACTCCTAAATACTATCAATTAAAAGTATCAGACTATCAATATCTGATAAATAAATCACATATGTATACATATATCGTCTCTCATGATTTTGTACCAAGACCAAAGGGAAAAGGGAAAAAAAAAAAAAAAACCAAAAGAAGGAAGAAAACACCAAACTGGCAATCCTAAACATTATAATTATTTATCTTAATCTGTCTCGAACAAGCTTTTCTTTCATATTCTCAACAGAAAAATGCTAAGTTCAGGCCCTCCATTACCATCGGGATTCAACATATAAAATGCCTCCGAGTCACGACTTCCCACGACTCGTTCAAACCTCGCTCTCATATACAGCAACTCGCCATCTGACCCGCCACTGCCTTTCCTCGCGCTTTCGTCCTCCACCACCGGAATCACTCCGGCTCCGACGGACACGCTCTGCACCGTGCTCAGCACGTGCCAATCGGGATCCCCGCACGTGCGCGACACCGCGTACCCGCACTTCCTCCCGTTACAGTACATGACCCAATTCGGCTCCTGGAACAGCTTCCTGGTCCGGCCTCCGGTCTGCGCCGCGGCCGGAAGCTTCTCGCACTCCAGCGCGATCCGAACCAGACCGGAGGACATCTCCTTGACCAAAGAAGAAGTGGACACAGCGAGCTCAAGCACTAAAAGAGGCTCCGAACGGGGGTCAAGCTGGACGGCGAAGGAGACGTGACCGCGTCGATGGCCGAAGAGAGTCCCGGTGACTTTGCGACCGAGGGAAGGTGCTATGGAGAGGTGGGAAGGAACGGTGAGCCATTTACAGGTGGGAAGAATGGTGGGAAAGGAGAAGATGTTGAGGAATGAGCGAAGGAGAGAGGAGAGCTTGGTCTGGGACCTGGTGGAGTTATGGTGAAAGGAGACAGAAGGAGAAGAGCCTCTGCGTATGAGGAGGTTGTCGGAGACGGAGAAGTCGTCGGGGTCTGAGGGACGAAGAGCGTTGTGATGATGATTAGAAGGAGTGATTCTTCTGCTGCCGGATCTGGTGGTGAGGGCGGTGGTGCTGGTGCTTCTCTGGAGGGTATAGTCTTGCTGTTTCATGGCGGAGGGGAGAGAGAGAGAGAGAGATGAAAGGAGTGAAACAGAGACGTGGGATTGATACAGAGAGGGTATGACTCAAGGCTGGCACATGAATAGAGAGAGAGGGAGAGTGATAAAGGAGCCGACAAGGTGATGATAGTGTTGGGGGAGTGAGGAATATAAAGGAAAGCTATGGAGGCTTGTGCATCTCATGATGATAGTTCGTGAGACTTTTGTCTTGTACATGGTGAGCCTGACGAGCCTTGGGAGAATTTTGTGTTAACACTTCACACTAACCCGGGCCTACCCAAAAAACAACGCAATAGGGCATCTGTAATACCGTTTTCTTTTCTTTTCTTTTCTTTTTTTCCCGGTTCAGTTGGAAGTAGCAATGACTAATCAATTCTTGCATTGTCGATGTTGTTCATAACTGTAGGAATAGAATGCATAATTAGATATTTAAGGAACTTAAGCAAGCGCCAACTAGGATGTGCCTAATATTGTTGTTATTGTTGCATTCACCAACCCCATTGACGAATGACGAGCGACGGCCTCATCTTTCCAGCTAGCCTGGTCCATAGAATATTCATTCACAGAGTAATTTCACCAAACACCTAGCAAACACGTATCTTCTCTCAATAATTTAGACTGTTTCTGCATCACTCGGGGAGAAATCTTGTGTCGGGATTCCATGTGTGCTCGATCTCAATCCAATCTAAAATATTCGTACCCTCGCATTAAACTCGGTAAACGAAAGGCTCTAATGAGCTGAGAGGAGATGGGCACAATAGTTTAAAGAAGCCGAAGAATATATATTGAGGTTGAGAAAGACCCTGAGGGACGTGTATGTAAGCCGTGAGTGAGCTGGTTTTGACGTTGTATTAATTAAATACTCTTCTGGTCCTTAATATAAGACCCATTTAACTAATTTGATTAAATTAAGAAGTTAGGTAAGTTAGTTAATTATAAGAAATGTAACAAGTTTTTCCTAAATATCATAATCATCTTTCTTAATACCCCCTCTCCCTTTTCTACTTGATTATGGTTGAGGGAGTATCTATAGAGGTAATTTAGAGAAAATTGATAAATATGATAAATGGGTCTTATATTAAGGACCGGAGGAGTATTACGTAAGTAAGTTGTGAAAAAGGGGGTTTCATGGTGACCGTTGGATGAAGACGAAAGGGGATGATATGATGGTTACGGAGAGTGACCCACGCAGAGAAAAGAGGAGAAAGAAAGAAAGAAAGTTGAAACTGCATGGTATGCTGCGAAACAAGGCACTTCATGGAACTTGAGAATGCAAGCGTGCGTATCACAAAAGGCCCTTTATATTATATGGAACGTGGAAAGTATGTGGGAGAGGGATGGTTCATGGTTGGATGCTATGGGAAGAGAGATATTAGAAAAGAGAGGGAAAACAAAAAGGAGGAAGGCGCGTGCGGGAAGGCAGGCTAGAAAGAAAGGGTAGGGGCATGGTCTGAGGATGTTGATTATGCTGTTTCTACGACCAGCTTTGCAATAAAGCCCACTTCCTCTCATCATTTTCTGTCCCTCTCCCTTCATTCCTCTTTTTAATTCTCATCTTAAACCTTCCCTCCTGTGTGTCCCTAGGATTCTTTCCGCTATTATTATATCCATAGAAAAGATGCTAACATCACCAACTGAGCAGGAATTTACTTTGGTTAAGAGGTAGCCTGCATATTTAACTGCGGGGGCTTCCATGCGTTATGCCGAGCCGTGAGATTATTGTTATTTATAAGACGATTATAGTATCTAATTAGAATTCATTTGTTGGCTTGAAATAATTAATGGTCGTCAACGTGCATTAAAGACGAACAAAATGTACTCTGTATTAATTTGCCTGTCCTGGACGGTTCCAAACCCAGCAGGCTTGTCTGTTGCGTTCTTCAACTAACAAGTCTAGCTTACCTCACCCTCTGCAATTCATTGGCTCTCTTATTACTTTTTTCCCTTTTCTTCTCGATTTGCATCACCGTCTACTTCGTTGCTGATCCTTTTCTTTTTTTTTTTTTTTTTTAAATTTGCACAACGATCTGATTTTCGATTAGGAAAAGAAAAGAGAAGTTCAGAAGAAAGAGGCTACGTGGAGGGAACCAATCAATCACGTAGGAACCACCACCCTCCCTGTGTGCCGTGCTTTTGTGGAACTTGTCTTTTTTGGAAGACTCGCCTTTCTGCTATTCTATGATCACGTCTCGTGGGTATACATTGTACAGTTACAAAGAGAAGATCATGAGAAAATTTATAATTATTTTTTATTTAAAGATTATTCAAAACAGAGTGACTTTGTTTGATACGATTCAATAGTTCAGTTGTCTTCATTCTCTTAAACAAAAGCGAAGTTTTCTCTTTGTTTTGGGTAAGTAATGCTAAAAATGCAAACAAGAGGGAGGAATATAATGATGGGTTCAAACGAAATCACACAAAGTCCAGTTTTCTGGGTTTGATTCATTTGTGGTATTTTGATGATAAATTAGAATTTCCCAGAACATATTTCAACTAACCTTTTTCTTTTGCCAACCGGGAAATAACTGACCAATTAGTAAAGTCGTGGCGCTGATCGGTTCAACTATTTATTTTAATGAAATGGTCTGTGGCTGATTACGTACATCTGTCCCAATCACACCGCCTTGAATCTGAGCAAATTAATAAAGCAATCCAAATTGACCTCCCAATAATAGTAGTTATAATAATAATGAATCCAATGCATTGAAAAATATAATAGGACAGCCTAGTATTTCAAATAGATTAGCAAGTCAAAAAAAATCTTCTTAAATTTTGCTTAAGTTACACAGAACACTGAATTTTTTATCTGGAAAACGACGTATTTATTTTTTCAAAAAAAGATATATAGTTCGATAAAAAAATAATTATACTAAAATGCCAGGTAATTTTTGTTACACGTATACATTCATATATTAAAGGCTAAAGTATACATTTGGTCTTTTAACTCTATATAAGATTTCAGTTTAGTCCCTTAACTTTAAAAAGTATACTTTTAGTTTTTTAACCCTAAAATTGTTAATCTTGAATGATGATTTTTTGTATCCATTATGGTTATTTTAAACATTAAACTTAATATGTTAGCACTTAGTAATATTTTATCAGCATTCAATAGCTCAATATTATTATTTTTTGTTAACAGTTTTAGGGTTAAATGACTAAAAGTTTACTTTTTAAAAATTAAGGAACTAAAATGAAAGCGTGTGTAAAGTTAAAGAACTAAAAATATATTTTAACCTATATTAAAAAAAGAGAGATGTGTATAATTTTAATAAAATAAAAGATGCATCTTACTCTTCAGAAAATAGCGCATGACTGGAATTTTAGCTTTGCAAAATGAAATCGATGGTCAACATGTAATCATGTAGGTAAAATATAAAGAGGCTGTAAAATATTAAGAGGCTTGCTTTAGCTTATAACGACCTTTTTACTGTAAGCTAATCTATAGATGACTATGATACAAGATACTGAAAAGAAGAAAATAAAATAAAAGGAAGAGAAAGAACTAGGGAATGTTTTGGGATGCAGAGGCCAGTTGACTGGCGGCTGAGTCGTTGCCGGCTTCTACTTTCGGTGCTTTCCTCTTCCGACCAAATTCTGTTGACAACCTATACGACACCCCACAACTATGAATTCGTTAACCGTCACTTATGTCTCTTAAATCTGGTTTTTCCCTTAGGTTTATGTGGTCTTATCATATTGCTGCTTCTAAGCATTATCCAAACTCAACTTCGATTATACTAATGTATATACATATATATGTGAGAATTTCGGAAGAGAGAGCATACCCTAACTGCAATGAAGTGTCAGAAAGGTCTTCTCTTTCATGGGAGGCACAATGGAAAATGGGGTTGGAACCATCGTTGATGCAGAACCCGCTGTCTAAGGTATTGAAATAAACAAAGTGTGTTGTGTTTGATTTATTCTGCATCTCCTCAATCTAACATATGTAATAAATATCAGATGATTGGGGCGTAGCAAGTTAATAAGAAAACACACATATATCCTCAAATTCTCACTTGTTTGCGCAGGGCTTCATTCTCCAGCATGGCTTGTTGCTCCTGCATAGCATTTTTTTTAAAAAAATGGAAAAAAATGTATCAAATCTGGACCAGCAAATTCTGTAAATTCCTGAATTTCTCTTAAAACTAGTAAAATGAGATTGAAAAAAGAATGATAATGCTAGTCAAGTACCTGTAATCTTGACCTCCCTAGTTGATCTAGAAGTAATTGTTCCTGCAATAGTTTTTTACATAACAAGTGGCTTAGGCTTTTGATAGCACATTCAAGAACGAGCCTTGTTCAGAGAAACCGATGCTGACTTTGCTTTTTTTTTTAACCAATATTGAAAAGAACATGAGAATATTGTATAACATTTGATGACATTAACTGAATCAGTTCATAAACACTTAAAATAAGCAAAGATAATTTTGAGTGCTATTGAGTTTTTGTCATTTGTACCTTCTTTTCTTTAACAGATAGTATCCCTTCACTCAGTTGATTTTCCAACTTCTGCAGCTCTTTAAATTTCAATCCATCAAGCTCCTTCCCCATCATTCTTCTGCAAAATTTGGAAATTAATATCACTAAGAAAATCTGAGCCAATTTTTAATTTTAAATTGTTCTTTGCCTTGAGATGTGTGTGTGTCCGTGTATGCATAACAGGCAACAGGCTCAAAAGTCAGAATAACTTACAAGTATGCTAAACGAAGCTTTCTTATTTCATCCCTTAGAAGGTCTGCATCAGACTCTGTCTCCTGCTCAGAGTGAAAAGGTAAGGACTAAATAAAAATAAATAGCACTTTAGGAATAAATTAGCCAAGAAAAAGATAGCAAAGAGGGAATCAAAATACTGTTACAAATTATTATTATTAAGAGTTATTTAATTTAATGATGAAGAGTGAAGCTTTCTAGAAGGGAAGTGGGTGTGTGAAAGTCATACATACCTCAGCCGGTGGCACCTCACAAGGTTGCTCTGTAAAATCCAATTCCACTCCTTTAGTGTACCTTGAAAGGGTGTGCTCCATGCTTCATGAATGAAATAAACTTTTTGATGATCATAAGAATAAAGAATAAAGAACCACTTTTTTTCAGTAGAGAATGTCAAGCTACAAAAGCATGGGCAGGAGTGCCCAAAAAGATAGAATAAAAGAACCTGAGCTTTGCAGTACTGGGAACAACAAATTATTTAATGGCTATTTTGGAAAGCAATGCAGCAGAAATCTGTATACTGAAGTGAAACCCAAAAGACATACCCACGTTTGCTTTCAATAATATCTTTTGCATGCCAAATAATCCCACATAAAAGGATTCTGATTCTAACATATCAGTAGGTGTCTCCTCTTCACCAATTGAACAGTACTTAAAAGAAATGGGGTTTGGACATTCTTTGATGAAAAGCACAAATGATTGAAACCAGTTCTTTACATGCCTGGAATTTTCCAGGATAGTTCTTTAGTATTCAGTTTCTCCAATAAAAGGATTCTGATTCCAATATGGTAGTGTGCAAGAGAACGCACCTCAAGTAAACAGAAAAATGAACATGTAAAACAAAAGAACAAAATCACAAACCCCAAAAGTTCTATTCAAATTCAAATTTCCAAAGAAACCTCGTGCTCTGGAGATAAAAGGCAAAGTACCTTGTGTTGGAAAACTCATAAAGCTTGCCGGTGCTGGAGAAAATGATGACAGCAACCTCTGCATCACACAGAACGGACAACTCCTTGGCCTTCTTGAGCAATCCATTACGTCGCTTGGAGAAGGTGACCTGCCTATTATTCAAATTCTCTATCTTCTTAATTTCAATTTTCCCTCTCCCCATTTTCCCTGAAACTTGCCTCCGACCACCACGGCCGCCGTCCCGCCGCCACCGCCAATGAGATGGTGTAGAGAGAGAGAGACTCAAGCCACCTTTGAATCCTTTTTCTATATATAAAGACGCAGAGGCGCAGAACACGAACAAAAGTATGATTGTTGCGTAATGTGGAAATGGGAGTGGGATTACTTCTTGTGCATGAAGAAAAGGCCAGAGAAGAAAAAAAGGAAGCAAAATTAGGAATTTAGAGGGAAAGGTGACAGATGGAATACTATATGTGGGTCGTGAATCCTAATATGGAATTCTATTTTACTTGAGGGACTGGCCGTCTGCCTCTTTAGGAATGTTCTGTTTCGCCAATCCAGTGTTTGGTTGCAAGTAGCAAATCCCCTTTATTTTCGAAAACCTCACATTCCTACATTCTCGTCGCTTTTTCTTAATTCCTACTAGATTCCTATAATGGTCGAATATATTTTAAAACAGTTTCAACCATTGCCTTTAAACTCATGCGACATTAATACAAATCTCGGATTTTAGTAAGTTGCTGTTTGACCACAAGTTCACGAAGGACTTAAATAAAAGGCATTATATCACCGAGAAGACTTCTGGAGAAACGTGGAGTGTTTATTTAGAATATGTTCTTGGAAAAGGAGGAATGAACAAGTAGTTGCTAGTCTTTTGAAAAATCACACATTACAAATAGGGAATTGGATATATAGGCTTTATATGTATGGGCAGAAGTTCATATATTTTGGGAATTAATAGCATGCTGTTCACGGAAGAAATATCTTTGAAGTAAGATTCCATGTGCACAGGAGACTTGGGAGTCCTGGTTTATTATTGATCATAACAAAGGCATGTGTTTATTTTAAGGACGTGATAATAACTTGTGAGCCTAACAAACTCCTCTCAACTACGTTAATTAACCACTTGGCTTAGCAAACCTCTCACTTACATTAACATGAATTAGTTATTGTTTGTCGGACTAAAGTATGTATTTGGTCTTTTAATTTTATGCAAAGTTTCATTTTAGTCCCTTAATAATAATACCAATAATTGTCAAGATTTTTTATTATCATTAAAAGATAAAAAGATATAGATAAAAAAGTAGGTCTGTTACAGAAAGATTATTTGTTGGGATTTCTTAGGATTAGGTATCAAGTCAATGATTTTTGTTAGCAATATAATGAATGAAATTGTTAACAAAAAGCATTGGCTTATGTATGCATGCAAGTAACTATTAACTACTTATCCAATCCTAAATGTACGAGTTAATTTGAGATTGAATTTTGTTTTAAAAATAAGATTTTAATCCATTATACCTTTTATCATTTTTCTTTAGACTAATTTACTTAACTAATAAATTAATATATACTCCAAGATTATATAGAGGTATTTTATGGAGATTACGTCACATGTTATAATTAGCTAATTTATTTGACCTTCTTATTCTATTTAAATTAATTAAATAATTCTTATATTAAAAGAAAAAATATTTTTATAATAACAAACACGACAAATAAGACTAAAATATATATTTGATCATTTAACTTTATGTAAGGTTTCATCCTAGCCCCTTACTTTTAAAAAATATACTTTTAGTCCCTTAACCCTAAAATTATTAGTCTTAAATGATATTTTTTGTAACAATCATGGTTGTTTTGAATATTAAACTTAATATGTCAGCATCTAGTAATGTTTTATCAACATTCAAGAACTCAATATCATCATTTTTTGTTAACAGTTTTAGGATTATAGGACTAAAAATTTACTTTTTAAAGTTAAGGGATCAAAATGAAACTTTGTGTAAAGTTAAGGACTAAATATATACTTTAGCCTATTATTAATGGTTCCTCGCCAAGTAAACGAACACCGTTGGATCATATCAGTGCGATGGCCAGACGAACGCAGGTCGCTCTTGGATGGTCCGAACCATATAGTGGCGGATGCACCAATTTTTATTTTGGGCCTCCGTCTAACGACAAGTAGGCTTTTATTGGCCCTATAGGTAGGCCCAGAAATCACTATTCTGTGTAATCCCGTCATTGTCTTACCTTATTCCATCTCCAAACAAAACTTGCGTAGCCTCCTCGGATTATAAAATATCTTTATTCTCTCCAACAAGGTTGTCTTTCCTAATAACAAGCTTGGCAATTGCATGTGAGAGAAGCCGCCATTGAATTTTTGATAAGCTAACTCTTGAAACATATACAGCAAAATGCCTGCAATGTTAAAACAATGGCAAGTGTTTGAGGCAGAGCCACAAGAAGAACTTCCAAATTAAGAGTCTTTTCAAGAAACTTGCATTAGTATTTTGATGGACAAATGACGCACGCAAAGGCGAGTTCAATTAGCGAATGTGATGGGAAGACTTCTCTTGCACGAGTGAAAATCTAGAAAAAGGGACAAATTGATTATTTTCATACAGAGAAAAATTTTAACTTATTCAAAGTTATGAATCAATTTTATTGCATCAGGGAAACACATCACCTGGAAAATGGTCCCCATTCATGAGATCTGCCTAACACAGAACTCGCCAACACAGAACTCGCCATTCTCTAACAAAATAATACATCTCTCCCCTAATACTGCTGTCCTAACTCACGTGGCCTATGGACCCCAATTTTTTTTTTTTTAAAAAAAGATATACATATTTCTTGATATGATCACGACGTTACCTCTCGAGCTAACACCAGCAGGCCATCAATTTTCAGAAATCTGCAAACACACTGCTTTAATTTCACATGGCTCAAGGATGAGTCAAGTTTTAAGTGTAACTTTTAACAGTACTTTTGCACACCCATTGATTCTGGCAAAACAGAAAACACAGTCAAACAATTAGTCTCTTCCCGGAAACCAAATGCTATTGGCCAGTCAAAAAGACATGGCTTTGAAATTCTGGGTCGCACTCGAGAGGTATTTATACCCCCTAACTTGTAATGGATGCATTGTATTCTAAGAGTTCAGAGTTGTACAAACTGTTTTTCACCACTGAAAAGGAAAGATGGAGATGCTGTTCCAGATCATATTGTTATTTTATTTATTATTAAATGTTTGGATTTCCACTGTACGCACATTTACAACAGAAGGAAACTCTGTGTTTCCCTATGCACAAGAATACAAGACTTTGAAATGTGAATTGTGAAGATCAAAGAATGAACACGAAGGATGAAATTTAATGTCGACTATGCAGATTTAATCTTGCCACAGTGTAGTCATACGCACGATGCAGCCTTTTCTGGAATCTTGTGAGATCTAATGTGACATTTTGGTGGTCTAGATAGATCTGCTTTGTGTATTCCCACCCTTTCTTTGTAATGCTTCTTGGGTTTGTCAGAACAGGATCGTTCTTATGGTATTTCTGATACAAAGAGCTCTCTTTGGGATGAATTTCATAGCCTATGTACTTCAATCCTAATTTCCTAGCAGGTTCTCCATAATAAGTTTCTGATGCCCATGGGGTACCTAAAGGAACCACTTGAATAAACACAGAACCAGGTCTCAAGAACAGAAAATGAGTCATAGCAGCCCCATGAACACCAATCATCACATCACTTTCATTCAATGCCTTGTAAATCTTTGCCAGTTCGGTTGTTTTATCAGGCCCTAGAACTTTCACTCGGAACCCAATTTCCTCTGCCATTTTCACCATCAAATTCTCGTTAGTTATTGCTCTTGACCCAGTTCTTGAGATAACAACCAATTTGGGTTTCTCCCATTGATTTTCTTCTTGCACTCTTTCTCTAACCTTGGCCTGAGCTTCCCTTTCCTCTTCTTGAATCAAGCTTTTGATTCGAGGCCAGTAGGAGCGATCCAGGAGGTTTCTAAAATCAACAATACTCTTGTTACCTTCCATCAATGCAGGGTTCACAGTCAACTCATCATGGATTCCTAGACCAACAATGGCTTCTGGGAAGCAGTGGGTCCGGTTGTCCCTGTTGAAATCGATGACTGGGAAATCTGATAATTGAGAAAGAATATCTTTGTACTTCAACATCCACCAATTATGGTATTGAAGAACCACAAACACAACCTTTTTGTTCAAATGCTGGGAAGTAATGTACAAAGGTATGATTCCATCGTTGAACTCGTGATAGACGTTGCCTGTATATCCCCCATTGGAGAAGAACACTGCTGGAACATCATGCTGAACATCACAACCATGATCCGTTCCCAAATTTTCTGTCCTCGATGTTAGGTGCAATTCATCGATGAGATTCATGATGCTCGTTTCCCATTTTCGAGTGTACGGCTTGATCCTTTCGTGTTGGGATTCCTGAGCTTCATCTTTGCTGCCTTCAAAATTCTCCCTTCTTGAGTTGAAAAGGAATACCGACGAGGAAGCAGAGTGTGTTCTTATATCTCCTTTCATTATACAGATATCAGAACGATAACCGCTTCTATCACAATATATGATTCCTCCTGAGAAAATAAAATGCTCTGTGAGCAATTCAGGTAGGTGACTCGGACTATGATCATGGAAAAGAACAAAGTAAGATGGTATGGAATACAACATAAAGTGTCGAACTCGGAAGTTTCTGGTATTCAAGACATATCACCATTTTCTTAGCATAATTTGGCCGACCAGGTTTCATTATGCTCGTACAAGATGACGGACCATCAAAAATGGATTTCATACAAATTCACCGCCTAACAGATAATATTACAGAGGCAACAACTAAGTGGCAAGAAGGAAAGGGAATGAGAATGATCACCATTTGAAACTGAAGAGCACGAAGAAGCATTTGCAGACAACCGCATAGAGGAGCTATCATTTTCAGCTTCAGGGGAATCTGAAAATAAGAAAACAAGATCAACAGAGATGAAAAAACGGGAAAATAAAAATGGCACGAGAGCATAGGACGACCAGTAGAAACTTACAGAGGAGAGAGAAAGTGAAACAAGAGCCAAAGAAAAGAGGAGCCAGCACAAAGCAGCAACAGAGAAGAGCGAGAAACAAGAAAGGGAAGGAGTTGGGCCTGGTTCTCTTGCAGTAAGAAGAGGTGGAGAAATCAAAGTTAAGACCGTGGGACTCAAAGATGCCATCTTTTGGGAAATCACCACCCTTCTTCGGCGCAAGGTAGCGGTGATACTGGACCATGTTGCAGGTAAAGTCGCGACGCAATCAGAGAGAGAGACAATCAAATACGCGAAAACCAAGAGAGCCTGCTTAAAAAAAAAAGTTAATGCGGGAATTGGATTTTGGGTCAAGGAGGCCCTTCTTTTGAGGAAAATACGGAGAATGTATGAAACAGTAAATTAAACGAGAAGTAAAGATGATTGACGATAAAGGGCTGAGGAAGGTGGGGGGCTTTTGAGCTTTGAAGGGATGGTTGGCGATAGAAGGAAGGAATAGAGGAAGGAGGCGTCTGAAAGAGGTTAGGACGAGAAGGGTTTTATATGGAAACGGAGGGCTCTGTTTTTCAACGTTGTGGGGGATGAATACATTATACAGTCGACAGCGTTCCTCGCATGAAAAGACGATGTCCCCTGTGACCCCAGGAGAGAAGGAGAGAGAGGAAATTCCGCAATAGCACAGCGTTTGGGCTTCATTCTGGGAACTAGGTGGCGCCTCCCTTTGAACATCAGCTCCACTATGCTTGATTACGCGCCTTTGGAGCGTGCACTACAGTTTTCTCGGCTTCAAGTTCAATGCGGCTCCTCTCCTGAGATGGTCTCAGAGCAGCAGTAAAGAGAGAAAATCCCCAGGCAAAATAGGGTATTAAACACCAGTGAAGAGAGTGAGGTGGCATTCATTAAAGAAATTACGTGATTGAATACTGCCTTTGCAACAACCAGTTTGGTACAGCATCGATTTGGCTCGCAGTTTGGCATGCAGCGTCGAAGGCTCCAGGAATAATTTCTGAAATATCCCCAATGTAAGGTTCATCCCCTCACTGTCGTCCGTGAATTTCGGTCATACCGATGGTTTTAATATTTAATTTCAGCCTATTATTCTTTTCGGTTATTGTGTCCTTTTGCTCTTTTTCCTTCTCGTGAATATCAATATTTTTACATGAATTTAAATTTAATATTAAAAAAAGTCAGTTTTAGTTATCTCCAATTTAATTAAAAATAAATAAATAAATAACCCAATCAATATAACGATCATTTGCGCTTTTTGCCCAACACATCATTCAAGATAGACACATCCTGTAACTTTTGAACCGAGAAGAATGCATTTCTTAGCGGAAAATCTAGGGTCAGGAGTATAACTGAAATGTAAAAGTGTTTTTTTTTCTTTTGTAAAATTATTCCATGCCGATATACTCATTCCTATTTTATGTATGATGTAATTTTTTTTAAAGATAAAATATTAGACATTAATATCATTTTTTATTTTTTTATTAATTACTGATTATTTTCACGGTATTCATGAATAGAGATACTTTTAAAAAATAAATTATGTTTTTTTATATGTTTATTGCTTGTATCCTATTTTTAATTAAATTTTTTTATATAATTTAATAGTTTGTATCATAGAAAAATGACTGTAGAGGAGCGTTAAGCGGGTATTGATACCTACGATGGCGCGTGGGAAGCGTGGAATTGGCCTGTTTCCGTGGACGGATGATGGAGGCTGGCGGCGCCTTCGTCAGCAAGCAGCCAAGCTCTTGAATTACTTCTTTTCCGATTCGGGTATATGACAAATAACGTTACTCCCAAGTCCTGCATTGCCCGGGGAATTGTTCATTTCTGGCCTGCCGCCTATTTGTTTTAAATATTTGGTTCAACCCTTGCTTTTCTCCATGGCAAAATTATATCTAATCCAGAATCGGATATTGAGTCACATCTTAGTTTTGTCCGCGTAAGATAAGATTCTTCGTTTGTTAGCCATATATATACACATAATTCCTCATAAGTATAAAAGCTAATTTATAATACAGTTTATATTACAAACTAAATACTCCTTCGGTCCTTAATATAAGACCCATTTAACTAATTTGATTAGATTAAGAAAGTTAGGTAAGTTTGTTAATTATAAGAAAAGTGACACATTTTTCCTAAAACACCATAATAATCTTTTTTAATACCCCTTTTCCTCTTCTATTTGATTATGGTTGAGGGAGTATCTATAAGGGTAATTTAAAGAAAATTAATAAATATGAGAAATGGGTCTTATATTTAGGACCAAAACCAACTTAAAAATTGGGTCATATATTAAGGACCGGAGGAGTATTATAATTAGGATTGAATGCGGTATAATATTAGATTGTTGGTAGCAAAGGCACAATCAAATATAAGGGCATGGCCTCGCCCACAGATTTGGTCTCAACGTTACCTGTGTTTGATTCTTTTGTTTTGCGTTTAGACTGTTTTAATTGTTTTAGTTCGTTCTCTTATGAATTGTTAAATATAACTGTACACATGACGCATATGATAGAGTAAATGTCATGTTTCATTTTTCAAAGCTGGGGTTGCTTAATTTCCATCATATTCTTTCAGCATGGTCCGAGTGTAAGATCTAGTTAATTAATTTAAATAAATTAGTTAATATGCTATGTTTTTTTCTTTAAAATATTATAAATATCTTTTTTATTTCCCTCCTCACTTTCCTGTTTAGGGGTGTTTGGTTTCCCCTAAAAGTACTTTTTAAAATCACTTTTAAATAAGTCGAGATAAAATTCATCTCATATACTCATTCAGTATTAAATATAAGACTTATTTTGTAGTGTAGGACTGAAGGAATATAAATTATACTACCAAATGAGTTTTACATTTATGACAGGAGGAGTACTTACTTCATATACTGTAAAATTACTTTTAAGACTATAATTTGATAACATCCAAACACCCATTTAATTATTGTTGTAACTTGTAAGAATATCAATAAGATTAATTTAAAAAAATAATAAACATATAAAATAAGTCTTATATATATAACTAATATCAACTCTCAAATTAAATTTCATTAGCCACCGGAGGAGCATTAAAAATATAATGTTGTCGGGGAAAATTTAAAACAAGAATGCTTCCATGCCTTCGCGGTGCGATCAGATGACAATATACTGCCCCACAATATTTGAATATAATATAAACAGATTAAAATAACACCATCAATATTCCATATAAAGCTATATAATTCACATAAATAAATTATAAGCAATGCATTTCACGCGAGTTCTTTTTTTGGAATTATCTCTCTCTTTTTTTCTGAGGTAAGTACTCATATCTTTCTATTAAAATTAATTCTGTTTAAGATACTGTTATACTAAAGGATTAATTAATCTATAAGTCCTTATAGTTTTAATTAATTTTGAATCAGATCCTTATAGTTTTTTTTCTTTTTATTAGATCTTTATACTTTCATCTATTTTTAATTAGATCCTTGCATTTATTCTTCTTTTTATTAAGTCCTTATAATTTCACTAAATTTTTAATCAGGTCCATCTAGCTTTAATTTTTATTTGTTAATTAAATATAAAATTAATTAAATAGATTAATATTGAAATATAAATATTAATAATTAAATTAAATTAATAATTATATAATAAAAATAGTAATATAATTAATCAATTCAGGAAAAAAAATTTAGAACAATTAATTTTTTTACTGAAAAAAATAAAATTATTATTATTCCTAGAATATTATTGTTTATAAACTATTATTAAATAATATATACTATTTTATGTTTATAGAATAGTACTATTGGAATTTATAAAATAAAGAATAAAAAATTCAAGGACTTAATTAAAAATAAAGTGAACTTATAAGGACTTGATTAAAAGAAAAATAAATGTAAAGACCTAATTAAAAACAGGTGAAAGTATAAGGACTTAATAAAAAGGAAAAAAATTATAGGGACCTAATTCAAAATTGGTTGAAACAATAAGGACTTGTAGATTATTTTTTAACAAAGAAACTATCTCATTTTCTAACTTAAAAATTCCCCCCTCTTTCCCTCGCAAAATAAACAATATCAATATCAAAAATATTTTGAAAAAGACATTGAAGGTGTTATGTTTTGGAAAAAAAAAAAACTCCATGATGTATTAGTTGGCATGAGGCAAATAGAGGGGATGGGAGGGGAGAAGATAGAAAGAAAAATTTTAATGAGCTCTATTTAAAAAATTGAAGAAACAGGGTTTTGAAATTTTAATAAAAAAAAGAAGTAATATAAAAAAGTAATAAAAATTAATTAAAAGTTTTTAGCCCTACTTTTTTAATTTTTTAAATCAAGTTTATCAAAATTTTTCTTCTCCTTCCCTCCTCTCATTTTTTCTCATACCAAGCAATCCCTAAGGATTTGTGTATCTTAATTTCTTTTACTTTGCAATTTATCTTTTTTTTATATGCAGGCAATATTCTTTATGGGCAAGTTAATAATGTTTTTTTTCCAGAACTTTACTTTTCTCATGTACATCCTATCTTTTCCCATCTGATTTATCATTACAGAGAACATCCATTACTCAATATTTCAATGATAGAATTATGAATTATCCTCATTTTTAATGATATGTCACTTTAGTTATTTACATGTGCTTTTATTTTAGACAAATAAATAATTTTAAAAGTTATAGGCGCTTTTTGGGACCCCGATTTGCAGGGGGAATGTGGATTCTGGGGCGAAGCATATGACGCGCTAATTGAGGCATTGATACCCACTTGAGCGACATCACTTTCAATCTTTCACGACCTCCCTTTGCATGCAATCCACATGCTTTGTTCTTTTGTTACTCGCTGCTCTTAGTTATTCCCAATATTTGGATACGTGTTAAGAGAATTTTCAATAAGAAAGTGTTCTGTTATAAATTATAAATAACTAAAAAAGATAATTCAAAAGACTGGGCACATTTTTTTATTACTATTTTCGATCTTTAATATAAGAGTTGATTAATTAATTTGAATATATTAAAAAAATTTGTTAAGTTAATTCTTTATAATAAATATGTGTCATTTTTTCTTAGAATATCCTTACTAATCATCTGTATTAGATATAATTAATTTGATAAGACATTTAACATATGCAACTATTAGAAAGATTATTTTAAAAAAATGAATAAATATAAGAAGCAAAGTAAATTGTAGTCTTATATTTAAAACTAAATTAAATGTCAAACTGGTTCTTATATGGAGAATCAGATGCAGTAATAATTTAGTTTTTTAATATCTACAAATTAATTAATTTACTTCTTAAACTGAGAACTAAGGTGAGTGATTAATTTAGTATTTAATCACCACGATTTGAAAAAACTAAAGACTGTAAAATAGGAAGGGGATGAGGCGCTAATCAAGGTACTGCGCCCCCTTTAACTAACAGATGACAACGCCTCACATCACATTCCTGTTCACTGCCAATCAAACAGTCTGA